CATCCATCTTTTGATAACAGCACTCCCAGATCCAAAGTAGGAAGTGTGGTCGACATCTAGCCAAACCCCAAGCTCATAATGACTGGGTCAAGAAAGGGCTGAATGTCCCAAGCCAGATAAATGAGATTCATCCATGGAATTTTTCAGAGCTAGAAAGGACTTCCCCTGAGTGGTAGGCAGAATCCTAAAGACAGCCCCCAAGATTTCTACACTCAGGTTATTCAATCAAACATTACCAGGTGCTGCTATGATGGGCTTTTGCAGATGTAATTGAAGTCCTAATTCACTTGACCAAGGATACAGAGGTGATTTGGGTGGGTCTGACCCAATCAGGTGAACCCTTTAAAAGCAGAGAGTTTCTTCCAGTTGGTGGAAACTGGACAACATCCTAAGGATTCAGAGCACAGACGGATTTAGTGTTGCTGGCTCAAAGATGAAGGGATCCATTTGAGGAAAGTTGCAGGAAGCCTCTTGAAGCTGAGAGATGCCCACAGCTGATGACCAACAAGGAAACAAGGATCACAGTCCTACAACTGCAAGAAAATAAATTCAGGCAACCACCTGAATAGGCTTGGACATGGACTCTTCTCCAGATAACAGTCCATTGCAGCCAATGCCTTAATTTCAGTCTTGTGTGATGTTGAACAGAGAATCCAATTGCATCTACCCAAATTTATGACCTTCATAACCGTGAACCAATAAATGGGTGTTTTCAGCTTCTAAGCTTTTTGGTAATTTGTTACATGGTAATTGAAAAAGTCCAGCCATTGTTAATATAACAAGAACAGTTTGTGTGACATCAATGTAACCTGGCAGCCAGGAAGAGTGGTCTGGAATGCACATGCATGAATAATGATGACTTCACTGTACTAGTCAGTGGAGGTGGTAGGGACTGTTGGGTGAGCATGTGTACTGTGTGGCTGTCATATTCAAAATAACTGAGTAAGCAGAGCAACGAATCTGCATAAAATTTTGCATTAAGCTTGAACATTCCTCTGCAGAAACTATTTGGGCAATTCAGAAGGTTTTTGGGGACAGCACGATGAGTGCAGCACAAATGAAAGTGTGGCCCAAACACTTGAAAGGTGGTCAAGAATCTATTGAAAGTGATCACATTCTGGAAGGCCTGCCACAAGCAGAACACCTGAGAATGTTGAACTCAGCTCCTCTACAGCCTAGATTTAACACCCTACAACTTCTGGCTTTTCCCAAAACTAAAATCACTTTTGAAAAAGAAGATATTTCAGACCATCAGTGAGATTCAGGAAAATACAACAGGGTAGCTGATGGCAATTCCAACAAATGATTGTGCAGAGTGTTTTGAACAGTATAAGAAACTCTGGGAGAACTGTGTGATGTCCCAAGGTGCCTACTTTGAAGGGGACTGAAGTGTTATGGTCCTATGTACAATGTTTCTTTAACTTCTTCAATCAATGTTTCTACATTTCATAGTGCATGGCTGGAAACTTTATGGACAGATCTCATACACTGGAATTACCAGCTGTAAGAATAATCTGTCCCTAGAGAAAGGTTGACCTAAAGATATAGTCCTTAGAAGAAGGCAGAGTCAAGAGATGGAAAGAGATGGTATCTATAAGACAAGTTTTTAATCCCTGAGTCTAGCCATGCATGGAGCCTAATCCAATCCTAAAGTTTCAGCTGCATGAATCAACAAAATCCTATTATTATTAAAGCCAGGTTGAATTGACTTTCAGTCACAAGGGGGAAAAAAAAAACCAACAAACCAAGATGCATGGGAAAAAAAAAAAAAGAATCCTCAATCCATCCTGAACTAAGACCCAACCCTACTGTATAGCTTGGGTTTGCATTTCAGTAGACAAATACAGCTGTCTATTCTATAGAAATAATATAATTTAACACAAAATTTTGATCTATTTAATGCTTATCAATTACATGGACATGGAAGAATAACTAAAACCAAGGATTAAGGTGGATGAGACACTGACATTTCAGGTCTGGAATATTTTTCAATTATGATCCAGGAGACCCCAACAAAAAATTTCATTATATCTCACAGAGGCAGAGTCTGACAGCTCAGGTCAATGGCAGGCGGGAGACTTAATCAATTTTTCAGAAACCAACTCCTGTGGCATAGTCCCAAAGACACCAAAACTCAGACACAGGATTCTATTAAGATACCCAAGGTCAAAATTTGGGAGCTTGAGACTGACAGAAGAAACATTGAGAAGGGCAGGAATCAAATCTGTACACATGCCAAGTGAAAACGAAGAGTGAGTTTTTGAGTTCACTGGGAAAGTATTGGGGGCACACATAAAGTCAGGTGCTCATACATAGACATGCCATACCATTTACCAATATTACTGGGTATAGGAGACCTTGTGTAAAGTACCAGCTCTGGAACCAAACGAAGCTAAGCCTCATCTATCTGTGACAGAGTAAGTGAAATTAAGATGTTCAAAAGGTAGAAGTGAAATTTTGGGAAAATATAAAGCACATATGTAGCATTTTTGAATCATTATTTATGTATAACCTCAGGGTACATAGGAAAAGTCTGGAAAGTATTTTTGGATCATGCTTCTTGTGAGACTCAAGAAAATGCTTCTTTGGCTTTAGACTTGCAAGTTGCAGTGGAAGAAAGAGAGCAGATATGGAACTGGTGTGTTCCTTTTAGAGAACTAGAAGGCTGGGGTGGGGGGGTAGGTAAACAAATAAGGAATAAAGAACAATGAAGAGAACTAACATTAAAAAAAAATCTACTTTAGATTTTCATTTGGAGATGGAAGGAATACTCCAATAAAGAGCTGGCTGTGCAAAGAGACCACGAAGCAGTTCATAAAAAATTACAGTCACTAACAACTGATCATAATAGTCAAAAACTAGAAACAACCATATACAAGGGATAATAGCAAGGAGAATAAAAACTAAAAGTTCAGGCTGAATACACACATATCTCACAAACATAACACTAAGTATAGGAAAACAGACACAAAAAGAGTACATACAGTCTGTTTCTAAAAAGCTCAAAAATACACAACAAATCTATGTCAGTCTGAAGAAAAGTTATCCTTATAGGGGAGTAGTGAATGGAAGGATCTACAAAGGGGTGCCTGAGATGGTGATAATGTTGTTTCTTGATCTATGTGCTAGTTACATACTTTGTGAGAATTCATCCAGCTGTATACTTACATTGTATGCAGTTCTATGTATTTTCTATTTCCATTGACAATATTAAAGCAGGGTTTCCTACTTGTGTTCCATAGGACTCTGATGCCTAAAGAAATGTTATTATGGGGTTCTTCCATAAAAGAGTAGTTTCTGTAAGTTTGGGAAGTGATAGAAAAGGTGCAGTTAAATATATTTCGACTATATAAGATGCCTCTATCAATGAACCTAAACACGTTCACCCTTCCTACATGGTCTTGAACCCACTCACGTTGTCCACTTCAAGTTTTTCTAAGGTTTCCTCTGGCCCCCAAATTTTAGTCACTGCAGACATGGCATGAAAGGATGTGGACTTGCACACACAATTTTCCCTGATTGGAACAAAATCACTCTGAGCACACACTCACTATTATCAACCCTTCGGGATCAGCATCACCGGCTTTTCATGGAAGAGCAAACGTTTAAATCATGGCGCTGCCTGCTTTTTTGGGTGCACGCCTCCCTTCAGCACTCTTGCACCTCTGTAACCCCAGAGCAGTGAGCTGGCACATGTGTAATTTGCAAATACAATGTACCGAAGGAATATAGAAAAGCCTATCTTCAAATAGAGCTTTTTGCAACTATCAAGTAGTCTCATGGGTTTCCAGCTCACAAACCAGAATTTCTACCAAGTATTTGAAACCTATCACAAGCTGGCTCTGAGAACAACCTCATTTTTTCCAGTCACTTATGTCAAAGCAAATCATCACTTGTTTAAAGCCAGCACTTTGCTTGTTCACAGTGGGGCAAACATCTACATTCATTGATTCAGGCTCTTGTCTCTTTTCTCTTAAATTCTTTTCCACTCTTGTTATCATGAGTGAGAATGTGGAATTTGAAGGCTGTCTCCATGCACAAGGAGATAACAAGCAGTGTTCTGTGTTGTTATCTTTATGACATTTTCCAGAACTTCAGTTATTTAACTTGATTCAGTCAGGCAGCTGGTTTACCCTTAGCTATTCATTTCTGCCAAGCTCTACAGTTAAAAAAAAAAATCACGTAAAGTCATTTCATTACCTTTTTTTTTGAGGTGAGATGTACCTGCAAATGACAAACAAACAATTTGCCTGAGGCCCATCATTTCTCTTCCTGGCATCTGAACATCAGCTCTTCTCATTCTTTTGCTGTGGTCCTAATCAGATATACCACCCATTGCTCCTTAATTATACAATTAGGACAAGAAAAGCTAGACAGTATTCCAAGCCAATGTCTTAAGCAAAAGCATTCGTAATAACAGAGATCCTAATTTTATTATATTGATTTCCAACAGAAGAATTAAATTATACATTTCAAAGAAAATCTAGAACAAGCTTATTAACATTGTGATGCCCAGTTTGGTGGGAAACCAGTTGGATTGGAAAATACAGCTTCAATGTCTCAAGGCACATTAGGACCATATTGCAAACATCACACTGTATCATGGTCTATGGATGAACATGATTATATTTGAGACTGCAAAATTCGTTAAGAAAAAAAGGGAGAGATGAAATCAAATTAAGAGAAAATTTTACAAATGTAACTGTCATAGTCATGGTTATACAATCTTGAAGTAAAATTGAAAAGAGTGTAATGAAATGACTGCTGGACTTGGTTCCGGTCCAAGACATAATGAGCAGCCTTGCAAATAATATTTTAAATGTGTTTGCCCCAGAGCGACAAAAAAACATTACCCAAGGTGCTTGAAGGAAAACAAGTTCACCTAAGAGCAAGAATACTTAAAGTTTTAATCACAGAGAATTCCTGAGACTAGGAAAAAGAGTAATCAATTTCATGATTGGCTAATTCCTGTTCCTACAACCAGCAATGATTGTACCTACCTCATTTGAGTCCTGCTGAGTTTCAAAAGCATCCTTTGGCAGAGTGGCGGCCCTCTGGTCTATTCTATAAAATACAAAGAAAAATTATTTCAATGTAAAAGAAACCTCCCAACAATGCACATTTGATGCTGGCAGTGACAGAACTGACTATATAGACCCCAGTTTAAAAAAGAAAAAAAATTCAGTGATACCTCACAGCCCATAGAACGATGTCCAGACTCCTTATAAGGGTCTGCAACACATTACAGTTGTCTGGATCCTGCCAGCCTTCTGGACCCCCCCTCCTATCGCTCTCACCCTTGTCCCCTACACTCCAGCCTCTCTGGCCTTCTCTCTGCTTCTTCAACACATAATGTTGATCCCCCGTTCAAACCTTCACCCTTGCTGCTCGTCCCCCAGATCTTCACAGAGCTGACTCTTCTCAGCTCTATGAAGTGCAAGCCCAGCTTCTCTGTCACCTCCCAACAAGACCCTCCTGACCTTCCTAACTTCCTAGATGTAGCCCTCCCCTTCACTTGCTATCACACCGTCCTTAGATTATCTGCTTAGCATTTCTCACTGTTTGATATTATACTGTTTATTTGCATTTCCATATTAAATGTAAGCTCCAAGAAATCAGTGATGATATGCATTTTCTACATTGCTAAATCCTCAGTAAAAATTCAAGCAATTGCTGTTTAATATGGTGAAGCTGGCTTTTGCTACCACATAGTTACCAATAGAAGAGAAAAACTTAAAAATGGGAAAATCTACCCCAAATCATTTTTTTTTAAGTTTAGAAACAAAAACCCATACTCCAGAGTTGGCAGGTCCTTAGCTCCTAATCATGATTTGCCAAATGCTATGGTCCAATGGCATCTATTACATAACATCTAAGTTTTTCTGCAGCAGTTTTCAGGCTACTATATAATAAACATATTAAATTATAGTTATTAACTGTAAAAAAAGGCCTGCTACTTTAATGAAGAGAAGCTTTAGTTGGTGTTAAGTCATTTATAAAAAGATTTACTTTGAGGCATAATTATTTAGTTATTGTTCCACCTCAATTTGAATTCTGAAGAAAACGTACATGCCCTCTGAATGAATGGTCAGGTCAACAAGATTAATGATTTCTAAAAGTCAGGAAGAACATTTAGAAGTGCCACAGCCTCACTTCAAAATATTCTTAAGAATGCAGAGTTCTTGCAGTTCACAGGCATTGCTAACTGTGCAAACAATTTATTTCTAATGAGAAAGGTAAGGAGATGCTCAAACAAAATTGTGAAGGTCATACTGACGTCTACTGCATCTGCACAAGGCAGCATGTTCCTCCTGTGTGATGGAAGACTAAGGGTCCCAATCATGAGCTCATGGAGAGATTGCTCAAGTGAGAAAAGTAAACAAGTAAGGAAGATCACTGGCACACCTATCCTATGCCCATCAAGTTCCTGCGCCACACACACCATGATTTCAGGGCTTCAGAAAATACAAAGTGGTTCTTTCCCAAACAATGGGTGAACCCTCTTGGGGATAAGGATTAACCCATCCTATCCAGTAACATCTAAAACTTGGAATGGCTTATAATTTCTTTGTAACTTGCAGTGGCTCTCAAATTGTGTTTCTTTAGAGTATGGTAAGAGCAGAAAAATGGAAGAGTGTTGACCTTTAATGGAAAAATGTTTGTTTTCGAGCATAAATTTTTCTAGGGCTTTGGTGCCAGCAGGTGGCAAAGCAAACACACAAGTAGCAAACATTAATGGAAGAAATAAGATATAGACTTGGTTAAAAAATATAGTATGTATTATCGAGATGCACAGAACAGCCTGCAGGGAACATAATCACATGACCTCCTAAATCATCATCTCCTGATAAATCTCCAGATCAAGTTTGAGAACTGTGGTCTAAGTGTGAAAGGCGCTTTAATTTAACAATCATCTGAGTACCTCCTATGTGCCTGGTACATTGTTGGGGAGATGATAGTTAATAAGCAGCATCTATGCCTTCAGGGGGCTTACAATCTGGTGATATCTTAAGCAGAGAATAAAACTGATTACAACCCAGCCTTAATGCTATTTCAGTAAGTCGAGGATCAGCGCCTAAGAGCTGGTATTAGAACGGTAGAGATAGATCCGAGAGAGGTTTTCAAGGATAAAAACAATCAGAAGGTCATGGGTGTGGATTCAAAGTATGAAGTGAAAGAGTAATCAAAATCATTCCAAAGTTTGAGCCTGTGGGACAAGAAAAATGACATGTGGTTTTTCTACTGGATATATAAAAATATATAATTCTGGTGAGGAGGAGGAGCAGGTATTTAAGAGAGGTAATTCATGAGTTTAGATTTAGATATTCGAAGCTTGACGTGAGGCTGAAATAGGGAATTGAAAATCCCTGCACAGGGCAGGGTACTTCTCAGTGTGTCCGGCAGAGTGAGAGCGGCGACCACAACAGTGATGGGCACCGGCCACAGGGCCTGCATCGATTTTTCCCTTATTGTGTGGCCAGGGCCTAGCATGGTGCCTGTCATATGGTAAACGCTCAGTACATGTCTTTCAGATGGATAGATGAATGAAAAAAAACAGAAGGAACTAGATCCAAGAATGACTTTTCACCTACCATTTACTAGGGATGTGTATCCATGGGCAAGATACTAACATCTCTAAGTCTCAGTTTCCTCATCTGTAAACTGAAGATGATAATAGCAACTACTCATGGGATAATTCACCATGGGAAGGACAGTTCATGAATAATGTTTATGACTACCGCTAGTTATAATGAAATAACACATGCATTCTATAATCATGTATAAAATACCATAGTAATGATAATAAGTCATTATCTCTTTTAACTGAAACCTATAATAAATAACTGAAAGAGATAAAAGTTGGGACATCCTTACTCAGAGCCACTAAGTAGGTCTGAGACTGGCTAGTTGTAAGACAGAAGAAAGCACAGCTGTGAAGAAAATGAACACATCACTAAGGAGGTAAAACCTAAGCAAAATAGCACTCTAGATGTCGCAGAGAAAGAGATTACAAGAAAGAAGAATGTCAAGAGGAACCTAACAATTCGTCAGCCCTTACCACTCCAGGCTGGGACTGCCAGGCAGTTTACCTACACTATCTTGTGTCATCCTTGTGGTAACTATATGAGATTAGCCTTTTAATACCCATTTGACCTAGTAGGAAAATTAAATAACTTCCCATTCATTAAACACATTATTAAGCACGAACTCTATGCCAGGTTCTATTGAAGGTGTTGGGAACAAAACAGTGAACCCAAGTCTCCGCCCTCGTGGAACTTCTATTCTAATAGAAGGAGAGGGAACCTAAAGAAATAAACCAATGATCTGTGGTGCACAAGGTGTTAATATGGAGAAAAAGAAAGACAAGGAGAACAGGACATACAGAAGGACAGGCTAAGCTCACAGCACTAGAAAACCTCAGTCATCTGGAGATGAGACTGAAATGGTGGAAATAAGAGATGACTGGATTGCAAATGACAAAGGTCATGGCAGAAAAGGAAACAGAAACAAAAGCTTCTCGCTATAGAAGTTGAGCGATAAAAAGAACTGAAACAGTAGCTAGGTATCTCAAATTCCCTTCTTTTTAAGATCTTTAAGGATAGTGCTTGAACCATTTAGAATCCTGACTAGAAGCTGGTCTAAACTCAAAAATGGGGTCATACTCCCTCCAATTTTCTTTACTTCCTTCACCCAAAACAACAATGGAAAATAGATCAAGCACATCTTCTGGAAAATAGATCAAGCACATCTTCTGGAGAGGGCAATGATGAGTAAGGCAGTTAGAACTTTCTGCAACTTCACTACAACCCTGCCACCTGGCCCAGGCCCAGGCAACGGAACAAGCAGGGTGGACTCCCAAGAGCCCCATTACGGCTCCCAGTACCAATCAGAATGTGATGCCTTCAAACACCACCACCATCACCACCATTATTATTGCCACCGCCATTATCATCCCCAACCCCATCACCACCCAACCATACCCCACCTTCTCCACCCCCGTCACCCCCCACCATTGCTGTCCCATGGTGCCACCACATTACTGCTGCTACCAAATCGTAGAATTCAAAATAAAAGCACTTCTCAACAGAGAAACACAAAACTTAACTGTTTGCTGATATTAAAAGAGCTTCTTGCCAGATTCTGTGACTGCAAAATTGACTAGCTGATTGAAGTGCAGCCTTACTAAAAATATTTGGTGTTCCCACATTACTGGAACACTCAAGCCTGTGCCGCGCCAGCCTGCAGGGTCAGCCTGCAGTGGCCTTCCCCTGGGAGGTGGGCTGGAACTCAAAATAGCACAACGAACAAAGAATGAAGACACTCTTCTTGGCCTAAGAACAATGTCCAGCCACAGATGTGATAATTTGTGAAGCAATATTTTCATAGGATTTTATATTTATACCAACATTTCAACTACCCATAATTAAATTAGCAGCTGGGCATGTTCCCTAAGTCAGTGAAAAGCTTTCCCATCTGCCCAGTTGCACATGGAGGGCATGTGGGAGTTATCTGACACCTTCTCCTCCCTCAAATCCAATAGTCAATTTATTACCAAATCCTTTAATTTCTTTTTCTTTTTAGTGTTTTATTATATTTTTTCTATTACCATTTATCCCCCTTAGACCCCTCCAATAATCGCCACACTGTTGTCCATGTCCATGAGTTCTTTTTTTGTTTGTTTGTTTGATCCTTCCATCCCTTCATCTCCCCCACCCCTAGCTGTCAGCCTGCTCTCCATCTCTAGGTCTGTCTCTACTTTGCTTGTTAGTTCCATTAGTTCATTGGGTTCTGTATATAAGTGAAATTATATGGTATTTGTCTTCTCTGACTACCTTATTTCACTTAGCATAATGTTCTTCAGGTCCATCCATGCTTTTGTAAATGGTACAATTTCCTCCTTTTTTTACAACCAAGTAGTATTCTATTGTGTAAATGTCCCATAGTTTTATCCCCTCATCAACTGATTGACACTTGGGCTGCTTCTATATCTTGGTTATTGTAAATAATGCTGCAATGAACATAGGGGTGCTTGTGTTCTTTTGAATTGGTGTTTTGGGTTTTTT